GAAACGACCTTGGCTCAGGGGCGTTCTCGGTGTAAAGCCTGCGCTGAGCTCGCAGCCCACCAGCAGCCTCTCCCCCTCCTGCAAAGGGCTTTTGTGCTCGAGGAGCGGCAGAGCTCCCTTTGAATGCTCGGCGTGCAATAAATGATGTGGGGTTTTTTATTCAGGAGCTGATCGCTCGTAAACCTTCACTCTTTCTCTCATTTATCCTGCTCAGGCCCGCGGAGGTGTCGTCTCATCCCTCCTCTAGCAGAAGGATGCTGCCACTGAAACCAGCTTTCCAGAAGCGCTCAGTAACCGGAGCTGCTGCGGCCACCTTCGAGCTGCTCCCACTCGGTGCCTTGGCTGCTTCCAGACACTCAGCCACGAGCTTTAGTGGGAGCAACTGGGCTCTGAGCTCTTCTGAAACCTGGCCTGGTGAGCCCTGTCGTGGGGGGGACCCTCCAAGAGGAAACAGGTCCAAAATCTGTGTGTGGCATCGCTCGTCAGTGTGAAAATAAGACAATTTAGCTGTACCCTTTGTGCATTCTTTCAAACCAACAAGTCTTTGCGGCGTTCCCTCCTCGTCGTCTCCTTTCCCGTGGAAATGGGCCCATTTGGGGATTCACGTGGTCCCGGGTAGATAATTGTAATGGTCCCCCCGGCCTTTAAAATCTATGAATCACTCCAGTATCTGGGCACTTTATGCACATTAGTGAATTAATCCTTACAGCCTCTCTGCAAGGGAGGGAATTATCGTTGTCATTGCTCAGATGGGAAATGGGTGAGATGGAGCCCAGATCTGCTCAAGAACTGGGGGGTCACATCACTCACCAGCAGTAACAGCTCTAACCTTTGGGCACCCAGCCCTTGGGGGCACCCGTGACCCCGCATTAGTTACCTCTGCCGTTGTGCTGAGCGAACAGGGAATATCTCTCCAGCCTGCCAAGCGGCTGGAAATCCATCTGAGCCCTGTCAGCTCGGAGATGGATGGCTGGGGTGTAGGCAGCGGGGCTGCTGCAGCCAGGAAGCACGGCGAGGACGTGCTGCTCGGATGCTGGGTGGGCTGGGATGAGTGCAGCAGGTCCAGCATCTCCCCGTGGCCTTGGCCTTGCTCTCCCGTGTCCTGCCCACCAGGAGGTTCCCCAGGTGAAGGAGGTGGGTACCCCTCGCCCATGGAGGTGGCAGGAGAGCAAGGCAAAGCCCCGCAGTCCTGATCCAGCTCTGGGGCAACAGCACAAGAGGGACGTGGAGCTGCTGGAGCGAGGCCAGAGGAGGCCCCGGAGCTGCTGCGAGGGCTGGAGCAGCTCTGCTCTGGAGCCAGGCTGAGAGAGCTGGGCTGGGGCAGCTGGAGAAGAGAAGGCTCCTCAAGGGGACACCTTAGAGCAGCTCCAGTGCCTAAAGGGGCTCCAGGAAACCTGGAGAGGGGCTTTGGACAAGGGATGGAGGGACAGGACAAGGGGAATGGCTTGAACCTGCCAGAGGGGAGATTGAGATGAGCTCTTGGGCAGAAGCTCTTCCCTGGGAGGGTGCTGAGGTGCTGGCACAGGGTGCCCAGAGAAGCTGTGGCTGCCCCATCCCTGGCAGTGTTCAAGGCCAGGTTGGACACAGGGGCTTGGAGCAACCTGCTCTAGTGGAAGGTGTCCCTGCCCGGGGCAGGGGTTGGAGCTGGAGGAGCTTTAAGGTCCCTTCATCCCAAACCATTCCATGATTCTCTGAGACCCCTCATCCCCTCACCCCCGGCTGATCACATCACGCTCATTGCTTTAGGGCACCACCACAACCGGGTGGACTTTGGAAGTCAAACCTGTTGTGGCCTCTTTTCAAATGGGTGACTTTGAGCTCAGCTGGTCCACGCCGGAGCTCTTAGTGCAGTTGCTCCCCTCCCGCGCCGCAGTTGCAGGCACGTGCCCTTTCCTTTTGTTTCCCCTGTTTTCCAGGTGTTTCAACCATGTCAGGCAGCTCCGTGGTGCCCGTGGACAGAGTAACACCCCCTGTGCTGGCTTTAAGGTTGGAGCAGTATCTGTCTTAATGACAGCTGATTAATTCAGCTGTGTAATGAGCTTGATGGAGACACATTTGGCTCCTTGCCCCTTTCACTTCTGCTCCCTACCACAGCTTGTGCTTTCGGTGCGGTAAAAAGTCTTCCTTTTACAACCCTGCACCCGTGGAACAGTGTGTGCTGTTGTAGCCTACACCCGCTCTATATTAAAACTGCCTTTTGGCTGCATGACTGGCCCAGGGTGTTTATGTGCTCTGCAAATGACTGTCAAGGTTAAAAAATAGCCGTGCTGGAGCTGCTGGGAGAGGCAGCGAGCGCCTGGGCTCCGCGTGGCCGCGGGCTTGGATGCGCTGGCTTCAGCGCTCGCCCGACCCTCCTCCTGCAGCAAAGCTGGTTGTGGGCTCTACCGAAAGCAAGGCGAAACCCCGAGCAAGCCCTTGTTCCTCACATTGTACTTGTTAAAGGCATGGAAAGAATCTGTGTCTGACTAAACGCTTCGGCCTCCTGCATTTCTCCTCTGGCTCTTGCTCTCATGGCGATGGTGCGTTGGTCCAGCTGGAAGGATCGTGTCCTATTAAAGGAGCACGTTTATTCAGGGAGCTGTCACAGGCGGTTCGAGGGAAGGATGTGGAGTGGGCAGCTTCACACTGCCACCGATCTGTTTTCTCCCAAAAGCTGTTACAGTCTCTGGGGTAAATAAACCCACCCCTGTGCTTTCCCAAACCCCAAACGCCATCCGCACGCTCCGAAGGGAGAGAAAAGCAGGAATCGGGGCTGTGGGTGGTGGTTAAACTCGGGTTTTACTCAGCCCTTGGTGTGAAGCTCTTTGCTTCTCGTTATCCCAGAGAGTTCATAGTCTACATCTTCCTTTTAATTCCGACACCCGCAGCATAGCGGGCTGAAATAACACTGCTGGATGGCAGCTGCTGATGGAAGGAGATTAAATATTAAAGCCAATGCTGTGGCTTTAACTCATTCCATTTTTTTTCCCCTCTCCCTCCTCTTTCCCCCTTTCTCCCCCCGCTTTTCTTCTGTGTGTAAAATGACATGATTTAGAACTGAAGTGCCAGACTCAGCCTCTAGGTTTCGGCGTTTGGAAATGTATGTGGAAAGATATATTGTGTCTGTGAGCATTTCTGTGCAGGGAAAAAGAGAGCTCCCCAGCCTGTGAGACCACATAAAGATGTTAAATAGAGCTGTAACACGCACCGAAAGCAGGGAAAGTGCCCTAGATAGGGGGGGGGGGGGAAAGAAAGTATGAAAAAACCCAGCGATGGAGCAAAATGAAAGATTAAAGTAAATTCAGTTATAGCAAAGCTGGGCTGAAACGTGCCCGTGGTGGAGCCAGGGAGGGAAATGGGACCCTGTTCTCCACCTCGTCCTCGTGCCGCTTCCCTCATTGACCTAAAAATCTTTGCTATAAACCAGGAGTGGGAATTTTCTTCCTTTTCCTTGTTCCCCTGGCTCTGGGTTTTCAGTATTCCAGGAGCAGCAGCCCCCTGCCTGCTAAATATTCATCTGGAACCGGCTGCTCCTTGCTCCTCACCAAACCCCTGATTTATCCTTCTCCGCTTACCAGAACCCACCTATTCTCTTGTCACCGCGGCGCGAGGGCGAGCGGGGATGGCAGCCGAGCCCCTTAAAACCCAGGGTGCTTTTGGGGCCAGAAACATGACCAAGTGTCAGTGCTCCCCCTTTTCCCTCCCTGGTCCCCCCACTTCTCCTTTTCCACAAGGGCGCTGCAAAACGATGCTGCAGGTTTGGTCTTTTCCCGTTGGGGAAAGGACAGCGGCGCTTCGCTCGCTTCTCCTTTGTTCGGGGACGCTTTGGCATCGCTGGGATTTGTAGCACTGCTTGGAATCGAGTCTGTGTTTGGAGCAGGGCTGAGGGGTTTGGGAAGCTGCAGGGAATAAAGAAACCCAGGGCTCGTGTGTCTTTAACAAACCCATTAATAAACTGTAGTTAAGGTTTAGTTACGGAGCAGATCCGGGAGCAGCAGCGGGAAAGACGGAGCGTGCCCGCCCGGAGTTACACAGCCAAAAACCTCTTCAGTTTTCTCCCTGCAACACCGTTAGGACCCACCAGCTCTGAATTTGTATTAACTTGAGCCCTGGTGACGAGTCGTCACCAAAAGCACCTTCTCCTGGAGCGTGTTTGAAGGATGCTTTGATAACACCCTTATTGCACCAAAGGGGAAGATGGATGGGACGCGTGCGGATGCGCCCGTTGTTTCGGCACTGCTGCCCCTTCCCTCTGCTAACATCCCCTCCTCTGTCACACGGCTCCTGCGAAGGCGCCGTGGCAGCTTCCAAGCCTGGAAAACAGGGATTTGCTTAATAAAGGAAAATAAATCGGAGTTGTAAATAAGCATCGGCAAGAGCGAGCGCACCCGGGGTGTGATGCTTGAGCTGTTTCACCGACACAGGTGGCTTTGGGTTGGGGTTGTTTGTGGATGCTTTAAAGAGAATCATACAATCATGAGGGTTGGAAGGGAACTTGGAGATCATCTGAGAGACAAAAGGAAGGGGAAAAGGGCAGGAATGTTTCACTGCAGCAGCAGCAGCTCTTTCTAGAAACGAGCCCGATGCCGCGCAGCTCCGGGATGCATAAAAATCCTGCGGTACGGCCCGAGCTGTGCCCTCAGCTCCTGGTTTGTCGCAGTCTATTAGGAGAGGCGCAATCCATC